TTTTTTTAATAAAAATTCTCGAAACACAATCACAAGTCAAAATGGAATTATAAGGGTTTAAAAGGTTTCAAGTCACTTTTAGTCAGTCTCTACATTTTATTCATTCGGAATTTGTTTGGCCAAAATTTCATCCCAGTCAACGTCGTCCAATTCTTCGAGTAACGACGAATTCAAGCGAATGATGAGAATGTCGTTCAAAATGTCGGGAGACAAATTACATCGGCGGCGATCATAAATGAAATCCAATGAAGAAAAGCCTCGCTCAACACTCGTTTGTCCATTTGGCACAGCAAAAAGAACTTTGGCTAGTTCGTATAAGAGTGGAAATTTGCCTTTGTTATTCTTCCAGTACGCCAAAATTTCCACTTCTCTGTCAATTCGTCTGACTTTCTTGAAACGTTGGATTTCATCTTGAATGGGTGAATCGGAAGCCGATGGATCCATTTCTTGGTTTTCATCGCCTTCATCTGCGTCCAAATCAGCTGCCATCAATAGTACTTCAAGTTCATCCATTTCACGGTCATTTTGCTGATCGTTTGGCTTCTTTTTTTGTAATTTTGAGTGCAACGCGATCAGCTCACATAGTGCCACTTGTTGCTCGCCTTGATTCAGTATTGATTTGTATCGTGGATCAAGGAAAATAGCCGCAAAAACACTTGGATTTTTAATTACATGTTCTCTTTCATCCAAACATTTCAATATGTTTTTCGCCAGTGGTGTTGTGTTCCGGCGGAGTTGAATTTGGAGCATGTTCCACAGTGCCCACATGTCAGTGAGTGTACACTTGACAGCCTGAAGTTTGATAGATGGTACATATGCAATTACCAAGACATCTATAATGCTTCTCAACTGATCCCAATGATAGAAGCCATATTTTGCGTCTTCCTCTGCTAGTTGCTGCACAAACGGTTTCAATTCCCAAATGCTTTTCAGCTGAAACATTTTTCATTATATAATAATAATGCAAGCAAAGTATTTTATCAAACTTGTTCAACTCACCATTATATATTTTGAGTTCCAACGTGTTGGAACGTCAATTTGAGGTAATTTGTGGCTGGTCTCCGTCCGAATACGAGTCAAAATAGTTGGTGTACGTAGTTGCTTGACAAGATCGCGTGCTGCTGTGATACAATTTTTGACCGTAGCTGTAGATTTTATCCCTTTTTCAACTGCCAAATGTAAAGAATGGCTGGCGCAACCGATTGTATTTGTTGATTTGATGTGAATGTCTTTGTTACGTGCTGCATATTTCTCTGCCACATTTGAAATAAGGTCGGCATAATATTGGCAATCAGTAAGCATGTTCAAAATTGCGTCTTCAAATTCGTCTTCGGTCAGCATTCTTGGCTCATCTTCATCATCTTCTTGGCTCGGCACATTGGTTTCAACACCTTCAGATGTGTCGTCGTCAGCTGCTTCATCCAGGAGTCTTCCCGCTTTACTCATATTGAATGCATTATCGGCAATGAAAGAAAAGACCTGATCTGGTGCAAGTCCGAACCCTTCTTCTAACAACTTGATTATGTCATCCACAATATTTTCTGATGTGTGTCGATGAGTAATTTCCTCCATTGATATCGTTCGAATGACTGTTTGATCGTTGATAACACACGATGTATTGACCCCAAGTATGGATCTCTTATTTTTCGTTGCGATATCGACCATAATGTTGAACATTTCATCTTTTAGCTCAGCTGAAATTTTCTTCCGGATCACAGCAGCTGTAGCTTTGATGTAACCATGAATGTTTCGTGATGTAATTTGTAGCCCACAAGTCTTCAATGCGTTGAAATACTGAATACCATAAAAACATGCACCAAATTTATTCATAAAACATCGGAAATTGAATTGCAAATATTTTTTTGTTGGAAAAATAATTACCGGTGCCAGGAGAACTTGAAAGTTATTGAGATCAACCAGTGGTTTTCCTCGAATCGTAACAACTTTTAACAATGATTCAACGATTTGGCGAGTTGTGACGTTGATTTTGATTGTATGCATTTTTCGTGCCAATGACACAACATTTTCACATTCAATTGGATGACATGTTTTCTTCGAACAACTCTCAAAATGCCGCTTTAAATTCCACTTGTTGAATCCCTTAAATTTAGCATCACAACCATAACAAGTCGTCCGTCCCAAAACCCTATCGTGGTGAAAAGTTTCGAAAATTTCCTCCTCTGTCAGATTACTCATATTGGCCGAAAAATTTTGTTCAAAAAACTCAAACCATTTTCAAATGCTAAACTGTCAAGTGTCCACACACAAATGAGAGATTGTTTTATTTCCATTGCTGAAACTGTGTAACACATTTGTCAACACTTTCTGCTTTTACCGTTAATCGGACCGCACACGAAGCAAACATCCGAACGTGCGGTGTACGCACAGTTGAGTTTCTGATCTATTGCTCATGCTGTTGATGCTGCTGCTGTCAGCTGAAACAATGTGATTGTTGTTGTCGCTGTGTGCACTGTGTTTATGTGCTACCACTCTTGCCAACCTGAGACTGTCACATTTCAAATTTCGGCATCGGATCATATTTCACAACAAACACTTCGCAGTGAAAAAGTATAAAACAAGCAAGTGAATCGTTTGGTTTGCAAAAATGTTTTTTTGGGTATTATTGAACTGTAATCGAAAGATTTTGGTTCCAATAAATCATTTTGATTTGTCGAACAATGGACTTTGCACATTTTATAATGGTGGTGGAATTGGAAAAAAAATATCCAAAGTGTTTTACTCTGCCAACAAACGTGCTGAAGCCAACTTTGATCTGGACATTTCAACAACATTCGAACAAGGTGTTGATGCTTGCTATAGCGGAAAAATTTTAGCATGTTTCGGTAAGAGTTGGATTATTTTAAGCTAACGATTAATGGATGGTATGGAATTTTTACATATATTTATTTTAGGTACCGAGCGCGAAGCTGTTTCTGCTGGATTGATGCATGAAACCGAAATTGGTGCATCGTTGGGTTTGCCAGGCAATGATGGTAATGAAGCCGATGTTAAACAAGAGGATGAAGAAGAACAACAGAAAAAACGACAGGAGCAAATCGAATTGTTGAAGAAAGCCGCTATGTATCTGCGAAATCGCCTCGGTATGAATGACATTTTGGATGGAGAATTGGCCGATTTTCAAGATGTACTAAACGTCGACGAAGAAAATGATGACGATACGATTGAATCGCTTTCAAATGATGATACATCTATTTCGGTTGATTCACCATCAGCAAATGCCGATTTGGAAGTTGATGGTCGCCAATTTGATCCCTTTTCTGGTTACATGAACTTTGTTATTTCTGTACGTCTTTTGAAAATTGATTTCTATTTTTCGTTCATATTTTTAATGTTATTTATATTTTGCCAGCTGAATGGAGACCGAATCTATACTGACGCCAATTTAACACTTCGCCAACAAGCTGTTAAAATGTGGTTGTATTTGAACAGTGATGCACCATTCAATGGACCAACATACGATGAAAAATTTCTTCGTGGCTTGCTTTTGGAAATTTTCGGTTTCAACAATCTTGCAAAGTTTGAATTGGATCGAACAAAGCTGGATTTCATTCGAGGTCAGAAAAAAATTCAAATCGAAACATAACATAAAATATTCTAGTCAACTTTCTCTATAATTTCAAATTGCAGATGTATTTCTTGTGCGTGTTTTGGATGATGATTCACGTATGTCCCACTTCGAAGGATATGTTCAGAAGAAGTGCAATGAATGCAAGGAAAAACTCGAGTCCAACCAACAGTTTTATTCTCTTGTTAACAAATAGACTAGAGAACCGACTCATTCATTTATTAACTTTGGTCCACGATGTATACAATTTACTATGTTGAAAATGAATGTATAAATCGAACAACATTATAAGAGTGAACAAAATCATTTTTGATAATTTAAATAAAAAAAAGGATTCAAAGAATAATTTAAGTATCGGTTTTTTAAATTTCGAGAAAAAAATTTCCTTTCAGTCACAAAGTGAAGTAATGTATTGTCGGATTGAATATTTCTACTTTTAGGTTTATTTTCATATCGTGAATTCACAATTCTTTAAAAGTATTCTGAATAAATAATCGTCTTGTGCGAACTAGCCATAGTACTTTTGCTATTCCAAACGTATACACGTTATTTCCATTTTGACTTGTGATTGTGTTTCGAGAATTTTTATTAAAAAAA